GAAGCAATGCCAACTAGGCGGCAAGAAGATCCAAAGAGGTTACAAGTCGTGTCACCTATTTAATAGAAGACCTACTTTAGTCAACAAAGCCCTCATGTAGACGACATATACTCACCGGAACATTGGGCCCATCCATAATGCACAAGTCTAGTAGTATCTAATCGATGTGCCCATATTTTCTGAGACTAGATGCTTCACCTGTCACAGTGCTTCCTTGCAATAATACAAATGGCCACATCGAGGAGTTTTCATCACAACAAGTGCACCATAAGTAACTTTCAATGTCTTCCATCTGAATGAAACCTGAAACCCTTGGATCCAAAGTACCCAAAGAAATAAGATTTTTCTTCAATTCGGTACATACCGAACACCTGTCAACTCTTTAACCATGCCTCATGCAACTTCAAACGAACTGTACCAATCCCTTTTGTGCAAGGATTCATCTCCCATGAACACAACGCCACCATCAAACTCTTTCAAGCTTGAAAACCAATCCTTGTGAGGAGTCATATGATGAGTACAACCCGTATCCAACACCCACTTAGTAGCACAATCAAATAATGAGGAAGTGGTTAAAGCAAAAATCAGAAAAATCTGTTTCAACCTCAGAACATTAGCTTCAGAACTTTCTTTGCCTTGGTCTTCAAATTAGGACAATCTTTCTTCCAACCCTTATTACGACAAGGCACATTCATCCTTTCCAAGGTTTTCTACCTTTAGAGTTCCTCTAGGTCGAGACGTGATTTTTTTCCTACTAGAAGTGACTCTCTCCGATGATCTACCTCTAACAAATAAAGCTTCAGAGGTACTATCATGTTTTATCTCTATGCCTCATTTCATAATTCACAAGGCATTTGACACATCTTCAAATTTCACAGTTTCTTTACCTGCATAATAGTGGTAACAAAATGTCATAAGAGTCCGGCAAGGAATTCAACAATATTAAGGCCTTATCTTCATCCTTAATATCCTCATTAAATTTAACAAGTCGGCAATCAACTTATTAAAAGCATCAAGGTTGTCTAATTCATTTTTGTACCTTCTTTGTATTGAAAGCGGTAGCCATGGTCCTCTGGTGCGTCTAACCCAAGAGTAGTTAGCCCTTCGTGCACTCTGTTCAGTCTATACTTTTATTCTTCCATATTTTTGTGACACTAACACACTTTGCCATGTATCTGGCGAATCTCCAGTGCTAGTCACAAAAACCCACGAATAATATCTTTACTGATTTTGTGTTGTCAACGGAACTAAACATTACTCCCAGCACCATTTGTAAGGTATTTATAGATGTAGCTGAATAACCGGCAGCAATATATCATTGAAATATTGATGAGACTTCCCATTGCCGGTCTTGCGTGACAAGGCTTCCGTGCTTGTTCTTCCCTTCCTCGAAAGGACGCGCAACGTTATATCTGTGAATAGAGGGCCAACAACATTCTATTAGAACCTGTGTCAAGATTGCTCATCATGTAGCACCAGATTGATTTCAAAAGTTGTTTGTAGCGCAATCAACTTTCACAGCTCAATACATTTGAGCAGTAATGCAACCGTTACTCTTCTCTGTCCACCAACCATCGTGGAAGCTGCCTTCACAAAATAGGAGTTTCTGCTTATCTGCCCGTTATTAAATGAGCATCATGTGGTGGGCCATGAAAGGATGGTGAGTATGCAAGTTTACCCAAGGGAGTCCATACCAAACGCCTCGCTTTTTCAGGTGACCAATATTTTAGTGTCTTCACCGTGCACATTTCTCATCCACAACCTCTATCTGCATAGCCAATCTTACAAAGCTTAGACCACTCATTGTGGAGATCCTATTTATCATCATATAGGAATAATGGATAGAACCGAGCGAATAATTTGAAAGAACACGCCAATACGCGAATATTTAACGACACCGCCTCTGGCAACAGTTCCACGTCAATAAGTGAATAATTCTTCGTACAGAAGTTTTACTTTTCACTACTGTACGCATTTGCGGCACGCTAAGGGTAAGAAGATTCATCCTCCTCAATTTCCACACTCCACTACCCTCCAACCCACCCACCCCCACCTCCGGCGATGCCTTCTACCACACCACCGCCACACAATACACAGATTCCCGAACAACGCGCAGCGTGTCTTAATCCTCATCTATACTCTGTCAACTATAGGCCTATATTGGCCCCATAATTTTTTACACCATTCATAATTCACATGCGACAAAGATCAAGTCATTCTGCTTCTCTAGCCAACTAGGACAGAACACAGAAAATACAGGCAGCCGAGAAGTAGTAAGTAAACACCACGACCGAGCTATGTTTTAACACCTGACTTTTCCAAAAATTTCACTCTCCTCTAAGCCAATTGTACATGATAGCCTTAATAAGCTATCTAACAAAAATCAATACAATACTATCGATATAGTCGATGTGACACTGTCGTGACATTAACAAAGAAAACCAAATATAGGAAGAACACCCTTCTTCTTTCTTTTCTTTCTGTTCCTGGGTCTTGATGTTTACAAATCTCTTTTCCTGCAATGTGGTATACTCGTCAGTGTTTTCTGCTCGCTACTTTCTGGTTCGCAAGGCATCTCATAACTTGGTGTGTCTCACTTCTACCTACGAAAAAGTTAGTGGATTAACAGTATACGGAGCAAGCTCTGCACAAAAACAATGAACTTTTCGTGCTTCAGTTCTCGTTACAGATTATGAGTTTTCCCAGGCGATACATTTTTAGGTTCTCTTCCCTTGCTCTTTTCTCTCCGCTTTGGCTCTCACCTGTCAAACGTCTCACGTCTAGACTTCCAATTTATATCGAAGTCACAATAGTGAACAAATTATTTGTAAAGTGCAAAATTCCTCTCACCTCTATTGTGTGATTGGAAAACAGACCAACGTCTCAGATAATAGGATCGCTGCCCTATATCATTCAATCCTAAATCGGGATTACAATTTTTACGTTATCAGACGAATGACGGTGAATAAAAGGTTCATTATGTCTAGACTCTCTGCGACAGTCATTCCTGCGATAGATGTCTATGATCATGCCTTTATTGTTCCTTTACGTGTTTTGTTCTTTTCCATTTATTTATGGCGCCGATGACCGTTGTTTATGTTTAATTGTTCTAGAAGATCGATTACCTCGGCCACTTGGATCCATCTCTTGCGCTCACACCATTATTTTGAACCAGAATACAGAACACCAAGTCGCGTAGACTGAACCAGGAAACAAAGTTTTCTTTTATACTCAAACCCTTACATTTGATCAGGCATTGATAGCGGACGCACAAAAAGTCGCGAGTGTGACAAAATACATCTCTAAACTTGTGGTCTTATATATCTCAATGGTTAAAACACTTTGCAATACTATGCATTCAATTTGATAGATTCTTTTGTCTTCATAATATTGTTAACTATTTGTATTTTGTGAAGATCACTATCATAAGTCGCTGAAATCTTAAATCAATTACAATGATAGAAAGGAGTTTAACTGCAAGGCCATTCAATTTCCTCAATCGATTTAGGAGTGCCCTTCCCGTCCCCTTTTAGTATGTTCACTCTTCTTGCAGAGGGATCTCTAACTAGGAATTATGCAAATTTTTATTGTTGTTTGAGAGATGCAAGCAGCCGGGACTGTCTTTAATAATGGTTGGGAGTGATGATCAGAAACACCTCACGAATGTAATGGGTCTCGTGTAGCGAGCTTGAAATATGGGAACAATTAGACTGCGAGAAGATCTCTTGAGTAGGTAAGGATGTTATAGTCTCCATCATCTTTTGTATTGCGTGGAGGTAACACGAGTCTCAAATCTGCGCAATACTTATTTAGCTTGCGCGCTATACGGTGGGTTATTAACCCATCCAAACTGGGTGTATCTGCAACGCTGAGTTTTCTTATCCTGAAAGCTGCCAGCTCTTTCCAAACAAACTAAGAAGAGTGTACGTCAGACTCAGTCATATAACAGGGTACCGCCAGTTGGTATTTTTTGGGCTTTCCAAGGGATTCATCGCGACTTCCATTTGTCCCTTCTGGTGGGCGACAGGTCCTAATCGTAATTCTAAAAAATCGATGTATAATAATCTTATCCTAAGTATACCAGTAGGGGCTATATTTGGTTGCGCATTAATAATCTGAGATGATCTATAACCCCTCTACCCCTCCTTAATAGTAGGTGGTCTTCATAGGTAATCGTAAATGGTGTGGTAAATAGTAAGCGTAATACCTTCCGTGACCCTCCTCCCTTACTGTGGTCTAGATTTGTCCTACTTTAGTGTCACTTTGATGAATGAGTCTGATCTTTTCAATCTGAAATGAAACCAAAAGCTGATGGGCTACACGTCAATCGATATGCATCGAAAAGCCATTTTCAAAGAACGGAAAATTTCCTACGTCGTATGTCCGTATGCCGGCTGCCGTACGTGTGATCTGCCATGCGTTTCTTTCCACTTGCTGCGTTACAAGAATGTGAAAAGGAGTAACTCTATTTTCCATCTCATTAACATATAATAGACAACCAACATTCAGTTCTAACTCTCTCTGGTCTTCGGCAACGAATCTCTACTGGTTCAGAAAAGCAGATCTTTATCTAGTTGGAGCAGTCCCTCATTGAGTTAACATTGGGACCCTAGCAAGTTAGCTTTCTGCTCGAAGGTTCTCTTTTAGCCACTTTATTACACGTCTAGCCTCCTTACCTTTACATAGCATAAAACACAATCTAATGCCATACAAACAGCTTCCGAAGTTGAATGGTCGTTGTGACCGACGCGTCATAAAACTCACTCATAATTTATAAACTACCATTAATTGAAAAGTTTCATTAATACTATTAAATAAATCAAGTAACTCTGAACTAATTTGTTATAGTATACACTATATCTTATGATTCCAGAATCAGTCATTACAAAAATGCGTGCAGCAGACATTATTTATTCACGACTACATTTTTTTTAATACTTGAGCTAGGTTTAGCAAGATACTTTCTGCGTATATCTTAATGATTTTTTCACTTGTCAAAGTTACATCATTTCCTTCTTCCGTTCGCTAAACACATCATCCCCCAACACACTGGAATAGCAAGAAATGTTTATAGTAGAAAAACATTCTACTCCTGTTCTGTCTTTTGAATATTTCGAATACACAGAGTTATATATAATTTGTCATGTTGCTGTGCGGTTTTCAGAAATTTTACGAATCTCAACGTAGTAAAGAGCAGAGAACAATAAACTAACACCAAAAGGCGAGTTTTCAGGTAAATTCCCCGGGATGGAGGCGATATGAAGACGCTTCTTGCCTGATTAGAATTAAAATTGGAAAATCCGTGGCTTATATTCCCATCTCTGTTAACCATGTCACCGGTCTTAAGGAAACTGATGGTCTCCCCTGTAGATCTTCGTTGAAGTTAGAAATAGCTGCTCAATCGGGGAATGAGCTATGAACGAGACTATTCTTCAACCAGAGGGATCAGCTTTTAATTTAAGAATTAAGTATTTAAGTAATTTGTGACATAAACTCGATGCCTTATTTCAACCAATAACTGAATTTGTGGCACCCAAAGAGGATTAATCAAAAATCTGCCTACATTGTTTGGAAATTTCAATGAAAATAAGTTTGTCTTTGATAAATATAATATATAATACGCTATTCTTTTGTTATGTTATCTAGAACATTATGTTTTCAATCAGATGTAATAGCATATAACCTGTTAAACCTCTGATTTCATCCAACGAGCTACTAACCATACAGTATGTACAGCTATAAGTAGATGCGATCTGTCCTTGGAAAATGAAGGATATCGAACAGCACTATAGTTACACATCGACGAACATCTGTAAGTAGCGCACCAAATTAAAGTTTCACTAGTTAGCTTTCTCAACACGCTGCATGATTGAATTGGGATCGCTAGCGGATCTCGAGATCTAGTAGAAATTGAATAATGAAGGAAGTGCTGTATCGCGGCTAGACCATTTTTCCTGCTATTCCCATGCTACTATACGCATGTAGTCTTGACAATACAGGCCCTCCAGAATAATGTGACTACTATAGCGCTGCCACAGAAAAAACCATAAGCTATTCAACCACCAAATGTGTCGTCAGTAAATCTAAACTGCCACACCTGCACCACCTAAAGACGATTCTTGCAGAACTTGCATATAAGCATCATGTCACGCCTATACTAATCATGGCATTTCGAAGATAAGAATAATATTCTCAAAACATATAGAACATAGCCACCGAGATACCTCGAATAGCTCTTTATGACAACAGAAAAGAAACATAAAAGAAGAACGCAAATTAATGGCTCTGAAACACGGGCGTTGCGCTAGAAACTCATCGAAGAAGGAAAAAATCACTGGTGCTATCTAATGAAATGTTCAGCTGCTCTGGTGATGTGAGAAATGCCTCACACGTTTGTCCCTACACAGTCAATATACCAAATCTGGCACGGCAACCCGCTGTCCAGGGAAATACCTGATTTCCTTATTATTATCCTGCGCACCAACAGAAACCCACATATTAAAATAAATGACTATGTTATTAATATATTTTCAAGCTATGTGTTAAGCCTATAGCTTACAAAAGACTTCCGCGATACCTTTAGTTTTAACTGTAAAAGAATATGCTCTAAGACACCACCTAAGAGGAAAGCCTCTCACCAAACAAATCATCCCTTCAGATAAACGAACCATTTGAATATAATCCTCTATACTTCTCACAATAGCTACTCCCAAATTATTCTGCAACCCTTTCACTATAATAATACCATCTTCTCGATGAGACCACTATGGTCAAGAAAATGTTATACTTCCTCTTGATGTATTGTCTATATTGCCTTAGTGTCCCTCTGTTTTACAAATATAAATTCTAAAGACGGGTTCGATGCCCATTCTAGGGTTCATACCCAATTATCGTACCTCAGAGATTTTCAGAATTCTAGAGAATGACAATGCAATTAATTGGATAATGCATGTTAAATGATTTCTTGCAAAATTCTCAGGTACGAATTTTTTCCCTGATGGACGAACCCGTCTTAGATGTTCTAAATATTTGACAAAGACTAAGGCTCCCAAAATGACAATGCCAATCAAACCTATGATATATGGAGAACCATCTAGCATATAATAATTCTAAGGCAAAAAGAAGACCATCATTCATGCAGAAAGCAGAAAATCCAATATTTGGATCATTATAAGTTTCAGTTTATGGATTAAAAATCTTAGATATATTATTATTCCGTGATACTAAGATGCTCACTTTCTTAATAAATTTGAAGAGATGGCGTCTTATATCAGTCTGAAGGTCTTCGGGCAGGAATCCCAAAAGCATTTCTTCATTTACTCCTCTGGTTGCTGCCCAAGTGTACCGCTCAGCTTCTCGCACTTGCCTTCAGAGCACAATAGATGAGGCTTTAATAGTCAATTTTTAACAGTACGGAATTATCGATTTATGAAGGGATAGTTCTTTTCATAAAGGTCGTACCCAGTGCACAAGGCTCCCGCTTTACGCAGGGTCTGGGAGAGGTGAATGTCGGCTAGCCTTACCCCCATTTATGGAGAGGCTGCTCCCAAGTCTCGAACCCGAGACCTACCGCTCATGGGCGAAGGCACTTGCCATCACACCAAGTGCGACCTCTAAGGGATAGTTCTTTTCATAAAGCACTAATTTATTTCTTTTACAATAAATAGTATAACTTAATGCATGAGGAAATTCAGTTGTAAAAAAAAGGTTATGGATACACCATACCTTCTAAGTTCCTCTGGCAAGCGTCTATGGCTCATCCACTGCTCAACGTCACGAAGTCTAAGGGACATTTCTAACCGTCTGTACAGAGAAACAGATTTTCCATTTTTTAAATCATAGCAGAAGTCAACTCGGAAAACTAACTGCTGTTATCTATTGCTCTCTTACGTTGAGACTTAAATCAAAAGCAGACATAAAACTTCGAATTTCAGACAACAGGAGAGAGTTACTAACATTTATACAGTTGGATGATTATGAAACCGAGAGGAACTTACAAGGAAGAAAACATAGAAAAACCAAAGATCTACAGCTTCGATAAAAAAGTAGTGATATTTCCATTTATATGTCACGATCAAGTGACTCTAAATGTAGGAATATTTAAGAAGATAAATCTTAGGATAAAAATTGTACCTCCGGCCAAGAGCCTGCAGAAAGTTCTGCATATTTCCAATGAGAAGAGCGAAAAGCAAGAGACCTACGGCAATGCTGCCCATTACAAATAGGACTTCCCAAACATAATAGCTTGGAACTAGATTTCCAGCCAGGGTACTGATTTGCTGCATAATGTAAATGACATGGTTATTTTCAATTAGATTTGCAATGAGACCATGCCAAAACAACCCGTACGCCAGGAGATAAAGAAACGTAAATTTTTTCTTGAAAATATTTTTCGGTCAAACACTGATGCCATCAACTTTGAGTTTTCATTTCAGAATAAAAAGATTCAGAACCAACTCAGTTCAATTTGAACTAGGTAGGACAATAGTCACAGTACAGAGGAGGGTCAAGTATTGTATCCCCTACAGTTTAAGCTTTTAGGGTAGAAGGGTAGTCAATCACAAGATTATGATGGACAATTAACTTAACTGAGTATAAAGTAAGAATTATACAGTTATTTTAAATGATTCGGCTTTGGCCAAAAGAAGGGACAAATGGAAGCGATACCTGGAATCCCCAAAACAATGCGTACATGTATCTAGTGACTACACTCTTTTTTGTTGAAAGAGCGGCAGTTTGGTAGAAAACTCCGTAAGTATAACCAGTTGGAGTTAAACACGCACTAGCATTCGCATTGTTTTTCCAGCTATCAAGTGATGGATTATCTACTCCAGAATCTCCAAATTCATTTCCATGCTCACAATCTATGAAGCTTATACACCCATTAATTCCAGAGATACCGCATGCATCTTCAAAACATTGATTAATCCTCTGGGACAAGAAAGAGGGGACGTAAGTGAATGATTGATTAACCCTCTACATTATTTAAAATTCATGATATTATTCATTACAAATACAATAATGAAAAAAAGAACTATCAAATTGAATCATAATATTGCAAGTTTAAACAAATAGATAAACATGCAAATTTTCCCATTTTCGCAGGCCTGAAAAGGTATCACCAAGTCTGCTTCCTTGTTTGACAAAAAGGTGAGAAGAGATTGTATACGAATCTTGAATAATTCTGGACATGCAAAATGAAGACACACGAGGAACATAAACATGTCTATCGCAGGAAACTTCCGAGAGTTAAGAATTAAACCTTTTCCACCCACCTGTAGCCCCATGAGGTAATAGCACGATCCAACAACGTGGCCAGCCAACACAAAAGTGAGAGAATTTATTACAAAAATTGTCCATGCTGACTCAAATATGAAGCTACTTGGATTCTGACCAGCGAACAGAGGCAGAAACCTAAATAACCTGGGAATATACTGAACGAGAACTGAAGCACGTAAAAGATTTTTTGCAGAGCTTGCTCCTCTTAATCCAAAGTTGCTTGGTAGAAATAACAACGTTATGATCTGCGAACAATTGGAAGAACAACTTACCACATGGGAAAAAATGATGTGTAAACATCAGACAGAACAAGTTACAATGTCATGTTAGCGTATGAGTAGATATATTGACAGATGCATGCAACTTAGGGTAGATTGAGAGGGTAACAAGCGGGGTTTATCACCCTCCCTCGGCAAAGCCACTTAAAAACAGTTTTCTTCCATGGCAAAAAGCAATGAGAAACTTGCATGAATTATTAAAGGGGTGTAAAAAATGCCAATAAAGCAAAGGAAACCAAGAATACAGAATATCACGCGCGTGTTTGTGTGTGTGTGGGGGGGGGGGGGGGGGGAGGGGGGGGGGGGGGGGGAGGGGGGGGGGATGAGAGAGAGAGAGATGTTTACCTGAGGCAGCGGTAAAACATTAAAAAAGTCTAGTAGAAAATATCCTTGAAGGTAATTCAGAGCGATTTTCTTCGGATGGTCAACTAAAACGCCAGCACCAACCACCCTAGACTCAGGACCCACATAAGCCAATCTAAACTGCAGAGAGAGGGAGAGAGAGATTAATTTATCTGTCAAGGGTTGAGACTAATCAACCTACCTCATCCATAACATTTATTTAACTTCTAAATATGATCTGAATGTTTGAGAGGGAAGGAAATCTTACCTGAAGGAGTATGTGCATTAGATATATGAAATCAGTCATGCTTCTGAAAATCACAAGTCTTGTCGTCAAAGGCCAATCAAGAACTATACAGTTATTATCCTGCATTCAAAGACGGGAAATCAAGTTCAAAGGAAAGCAACATCACAACGAAATGAAACAAAAAAGTTCTCATCTTCTCCATAGAAATCTATCATTACAAATAAATACCTAAAGTGTGTAAATTGGAAAACCAAACTAGGTCTCGGTTAACTGATAGTTCCAAACTAAATCATAAAAATGACAAGGAAGAACCAAGGAAATACCTGGTCAACGAGCAGCAGGAAGAAAAACAGTGGGTCTACAAAAATTGTTATTAAGCAAGAAATGACGAAAAACTTGTTCCATTGTTGCACAACTTTAGCATGAGGGTTCATAACTCCTGGTATATATGGACGCAGAAAAGAGAAAAAACTCCTTGCACTGCCTTTGGCATCCCCATACAGAGCACTATGGAACTACAAACAGTTGATGATAAAAGAAATATGCATAAGTTTCTTGGAGTGCTTATATCTTGTCATTCCAAAAAAAATAAAAGAAATAGGGAAGGAAGCAGTGACGATAATATATTAATAATGGACATATTGTTGCTAAATCTCAAGCAATAGTCATAACAACGAAATAAAAAAGGAAACACACGAGAAAGAAAAGGATACACAATGCAGCTTGAGAGGAACTATTGCTTTGTAAATGCTTTTGCACAAAGAGAATGTAATTACAGATATTATTTCATGCTCTCCAGAATCTCCACTGCTATTAATTACATTGTTAAAACAAAAAATATTCATGTTCTCTTGCCCTTCGTCAACTTTTTTTTTTTCTTTGTCAAACGATAGATTTTGTTATATTAGGTATTAGATTAGCTACCAACAGGATTCAAACCCACACCGTTATGCAAGAAGTCAACTTTTTTTCACCATTGTGGTAAAGGGCCACTGGCGCCCTTTGTCAACTTATCAAGTAGTGCAATATACTACGTGTGCTTCTACCATCAGCATTATCCTAATCATTTGACAGGATTAGATGCAAAACTAGACGTATTTACTACGTGGCAATAATGCATAGCATTTAATAAAAGACAGCACCTAAATGTCTACAAATATGTACACAATTTAAAAGAAAAATCTTTGATAGGTAGAGAAAAACACCTTGGAATCAAATGTATCTGAAATCCTTCGATGAGGAGCCTTGGGATTGTATGTTGGGCAAGTTGTGCAGTAAGGATCATCGCACAGCCCCAGTCGGCCAGATCTCAGCAAGTGGTCATTTTTACCCACATAGTTTTCATCCGTCCATTCGTTCTGGTTTGTTGCATTGGTAAAAGGAAAAATTTCTCCTGCGGGTTCCACCGCTTCTTGCCCTGCTGTTAGAGCTTGAGCTGCCCGGAAAATGCTATCAGGCCTGTGGTTAGCATACAACGGACCACTCATAGGTACAAAAAGAGGTTTGCTTTGACTCCCTAATGGACCAATATGACCTTCAAGTCTAGGTTCCCCATCATCTGACGAGTCCGAGTCTATATAGCTCATAGGAATGGAAAGTGGTGCCTTTCGGGTTTGGGTCACAAATATGTCGAACAGTAGCTGCGCATTATCTTCTGAGTATTGCGGAAGAGTGTTTGGTAGGATGGGAACCTCAGTTCCATTATAACCAGCAGCCATTTCTCACAAATCGAACCTAAAAACGAAGATTGTGACTTTCGAGTAGAATTGCTACACAATTAGTACAATGTTAGAATTACACAAGTGATCATGCTAGCTAGCTCCATTTGCATTTATAATTATAAAAACAAACGAATAGAGAGAGCCAAAAGCATACATTATAAGTTGAGTTGGAGTTCAAAAACCCTGAAAAAAAGATGTGAAACTTACCTGAATAATTCGAAAAGACAAGCAGAGCTTAATAGGGGATTGAAGTTGAACGAGAAACCCAAGAATATTAACTCATTTGATTAATTAGCGTACTAGCTAAAGAAAGATACATTCTCATCACCGGGAGGGAGGGAGGAAGAAGAAGAAAAAAAGAGGGGGGGGGGGATGGTGCAATTATAAAAGAGCTGCAAAGGACTTGAGGGCTAAATAAAGGAGGGCAGCTTGGAAAATCCAATGGAACGCAGGCAAAGGGGTGGTTTGACTGTGTGTTATTGGATTTTTGAGGAGCTTGAAATTTCCCGTGGGAGCAAGGGCGGACCGGACACGATCATCCTTGTTTTCATTTGTTTTTGCTACCGGTCAATACAATATTTTACACAAAAATAAAAGAATCTTGCTAGTTGCTGCTGCATATTTATTTGTTTAATAAGACAACTTGAGATCAAGTTTAGAACAGGACAGAAGACTCCTTGGGATGTAAATAAATGGGGAGGGTCGGAGCTGAACAGTCTGTGTCCTCCTTGTTTACTTTTGTTCTTGGTACATTAGTGGGTTAGGTTTGAATCGTTCCGTAGTTGATACATCTCCAGTTAACATATAGTGATGTAACCACATGACCAGGGTAGGAGAAGTTGAACTGACCTCCATTCAATCCTAAACTTTGTTCGTTGCCCAATTTATAAAAACATGACTACCCCTGACTGGAATACTACAACCGGAAGAAAAAGCGGAAATTACATATTATATAAAAAAAACTAACGAAAATCTCAGACAAATTTTTTTTTAGTTTTAATGAAAAATAACAAATAAAAGTGTAGTGAATAGTTCCAGAGAAAAGTAAAAATGTGGTTTTTCATTAAAAGTGAACAGTATCAGAAGTGTTATGTTAAAACTCCCTATTATATAGCATGGTAACACTCAGTGTTTTCATGCTTTAGCCCCTGTTTTGTTATTCTTTTGCTCTTTTATTTTCATTCTTGATAGTAAAATGATAGTTTTATCTATAGTACGCGTGTGAGTATAATGCATCTTTAAGTTCCAGCTGTCGTTTCCTTTCTCAAAAGGGTAAACCCACGTGTTGATCATCGTAGAAAGCTCTTCTACTGCTTCCAATACAGATCTCTCGATCTCTCCAGCTCTCTCTCTCAAAAACTAGGAACCAAAAATCTCTTAAGTTCTCTCGGCCAACCAAGCTTGCCCATTTGGGCTTCCTCTCCCATCCAACCATACCCCCAATAACAATCACAACAATCCAGAGAGGGTGTTTGACTGTTTGTTATTGGATTTTGAGGAGCTTGATATTTCCTGAAGGAGCCAGGAGAGCAGACCGGACATGATAATCCTACGACTACCGGATAATACTATCCAATGTCCGTCCTCCTTGTTTATATCTGTTTTGCTACTTGGTAGGTTGGTAGGTTTGACAGTTAATACCTCTCCGGTTAACTTGTCTCTGGACAATATTTTACATAAAAATAAAAGAACCTTGCTAGTTGGTGCCGCATATTTATTTGTTTAATATGACAACAACTTGGGATGAAATTTAGAACAGGAGAGAAGATTACTTGGGATGTAAATACATGAGGAGGGTTGGAGCTGAACAGTCTCTGTCCTCCTTGTACTTTTGTTCTTGGTACGGTAGTGGGTTAGGTTTTAATTGTTCGGTAGTTGACACCTCTCCAGTTAACATATAGTGATGTAACTACGTGACGAGGGTAGGAGAAGTTGAATTGACCTCCATCCAATCCTAAACACTTGGAAAACACACTAACCCACCCAGCCTCAATTTGATGGCAGTGGCGTAACCAAAGTAAAATCAAGTGGCTAGCTACAGTCAATTGTCTCCTCAACTTTAGAATAGATAATAATGCGCCGAGCAGATGTTGGGTTCGACAGCTGAAACTACCAAGTTGTGAGTGTTGCTTTTGGTAAACGGTTCTCATTATTTCGGCTATATATTCTAGTTTGCAACTTTAGACGGAGCAGAATATGGGAAGGATCTGGGAATCCGAGGGTTTGTCAGTCGTGATTAAGTCCGAAAGTCGTACAAATTTGTGTTTTCATGGTCAATTTTAATATAATAGAGGTGCTCTGGGCTTGTGGGTGCTGTCTTAGTCTCTGGGCGTCAATCATCATCTCGAGCCTCGGATCCTCGAGTCTGGCGGCTGCTCGGCAGGGGGCTTTCCTCCTACACTCTTCTCTCCCCAATCTCTCTGTAGAAGGGCTCTCAATCCTTTACTGTAGCTTTCTCCTATGTAATATGTATGTATATATGTACATGAAATCTTTAAAGGATGGGATCATTATTTTTTTTTTTAAATGGGGATCAGTTGTGGAGTCTACCCTATATCGAATTTTAACGATCCGAACCATCTATTTTTCAAGTTGCTTCTCATGGATCATCTTTGCAAATATTAAGATATCTAATTGAATTCAAAGAAATTAACATATATTTTGATATATAAGAAACAATAAAATTTGATCTTGATAATTAAATAAGCAAATGATTTCAGATTGAATTGAATTTTTGCAAGAATGATTTATAAATCGAGATTTACAAAATAGATTGTTCGGATCGTTGAAATTTGATGTGGAGTGAACCTCATACCTAATCCTCATTTTTTTCAAAAAAGTTAGGATCCGCATAAAGGGCCTGTATCTGTACATACTCAAATATAACACAAATACTATAGCCCGATTATGGAACCGCTCAAATATATAAACATAATGAAATGAAAGGTTATATAAAACATGCAGAATGAAATTTGTTTAAGTAACTACATCCAATCTTCAAACTCAGCACCATTTACATATTAATGCTACGATCAAAATTGTATACACACATTTGCGTAACCAAAACACAAAAACAGAGAGGAAAGCTATATATACACAATACTTATGTTTTTTGAGTGGGGGTGTCCAATCAGGGTAAGTGAAAAACACAAGGTCAGGAAAAAAGTTGGTAAGGTAACTCTTTATCCCTATCTGATGTTAAATATGCTTAATCGGGAATCACAAACTCTACTCAACGAGTTGTTAAAATTAATTAATTAAGATTTTACGAAGTCCTCCTCCAGCGTCGCCTAGAGAGGAAGAACTCATAGTCCGGATGCCTGTTTACAGATGTCGTACTTCCTTTGTTCACAACAGCTCTTGCCATAAGCGATGCTGTCTCCTCAAGTGTCCTCAAACGCTCCTCTAGTACTCCACAAGGGTTTAAGCCCGATGCTGTTATTGTTGTCTGCATCGGTGCTGAAGGCCTTAGCTTGAACCAGCATTCAGCCTGTGCAAGCACGAAACAATATATATTAAATAATAAGCGCAGCAAATTTTACAATATGCCTTATATGCCACAGCTGCGCGATATTTGTGCAATCCATGCACTATTAGCCATGACTACCTGAGCATTGTAGCTTTGCAGACCCACAACTGGAGATACAATACAAGCATCCAAGTTATGAGGCTCAAACTTGGCACTTCTACGTACCAAATGACCGAGTGAATGGTAAGTCAGAAATGCTGCACGGAAGTTACCATCAGGTATCCTGTAAATTGGATACCATGCCACTGAGTACCTGAAAATCACATGGCACATGAAAATTATGTACTAGTTAGAATTCACTCGGCGTCAGTTGTATTACTAATAATTTTGCTTTGTTTTGCGAAACTAATAATGTGCTATTACAAACACATACTTTAAATTTTAAAGAGATTGAAGCGAGTTTTATTACTAACCAGGATCTGGGATGCAGATCATTCAGATTCATATATTCTAGTTTTGTTGGGTCTCCATATGCTTTAGAATGTGACAGTCCATCACCTCGTACCAGCTCTTTTATCCTGAAACGAAGGGCAACAGATATAGGATCATCAAAAAATACATAGATCTTTGAAGAGCAGCAAAATAAATACTACAGGGATTTAAAATGATAACTTTAGTAAAAATATAAAAAGATACATACTTATTATATAAAGGTCGTCTCTCGTGCGGTTGTTCTGATTCAAAATATTCGAACAATAGCTCTAAATCACCGGTCCCTGTTGTGTCAGTCAATCGAACAGATGCATCTTTGGCAGAAGCAGAAGATTGTTCTGAAATACAAAATTGATTTACAAGCGGTTGGGTGATCGCATCTTCCTTATGATCAGATTGAGGAAGAAGTACCGAAAATATTGGCATACTACCAATGCTAGAGGATTTTTTGGATGTCTCAGTATCCGGGCTTGAGCTAGACGCATCAGAAACACGAAACCAAGTGTTAGTATCTACATAATCAGCATTTCCATTCTTGAATAGCTGAATTCCTGACAAATAAGGGACAAAATAAGCACGAAATGCAAAGCAATCAGCACCCAATCTCTTTGAATTTCCAAGTTCCTCGGCCCTTATTTCCAGACCATAGCTACCATATTTCTCATACCACTGCCATAGGCATCCTAAAGTGATGTCAGGTGTCTCATGTCTGCACAATGGCACACCTCCAACCTGATCAACCAGGTTCCTTGAGCAGCAAGTATGACAATTTAAGGAATTAGGTGATTGATGAATAGCCGGGGATGAATGATAAAGAAGTCTTTCGAATTCACCAATTGGATGACCCGTGGCCATTTGAACAGCCTCAGATGCCAGTTGTGCCCTACAAGCATTATTTACTGCTTCTAGTATTCTGTTTGAATCAGCTTCAAATGTATTTACATCTCTAGGTATGTCAGATTTTTTTATGTGGTTAGCTGCATTGAGCTTGTTATTGATCAGTTTATCAGTTGTACTTGGTTTCGGAAGCCTTCCCTCAAATCCGTTGGAAGAACATGTTAAGTCTCTAGAACTTTGACATGTGGACACCACTGCAACATCAGAAACAGGATTGTGAGTATTGAAAGCCGCGTTCCCTTTAGCAGTGTCTTTAAGAGTCCTCCTAGAAGTTGCCTCATCAGAATGTTCAAGTGATGAACTGCCAGATCTAGTAGAGTTTGTCAACCCGGGATTCTTCAACCCAACTGGCATCCACTTGTGGGTAAAAGATCCAGAAGTACTAAATTTTTGCCTGCAGCTTTCCGCAAGAGAGGTTTCTTTTTGTACTTCTTGACTTGTTGCATTACAAAGTAGATGAGGAAGGTAGGCTGGAGACTGTATTGTGCTATTCTCATTGTGAGATACGCTATTACCAACACTTTCAAGATGATCCATTTCATTTGGACAGAGTCGTATGGTGGGAACTGATTCACAGGTCATGCATTCTACTTTGCTGCTCTGAAATCCAGTGCTTGGACAGCTAGGCGGAGAACAAGATCTTGTAGCAAGATCTAATCCTTTGTTTCCCTTCGCGTGATATGATATATCATTTTGTTCTATCATATCCTTCACACAACCATCTAAGCTGGAGATGCTGCCATAAGACTCCTCCCTGGAATAACAATTGTATTCTTGTTTCAAAGCCAGACCACCTTTTCTTTTCAATTTCTTCAAAACCTTATCTTTTTGCCGTTTTCTATCCTCACTCTTTGGAAAGGCATTTACATCAGCAGCGTTACAGGGTATTTTAAGCAAAGGAGACTCTCTCAAAGGGAGATCGTTACATGAGTAAACAGAACATGCTTTCTTCAACTCACCAGTGCAGTCGCTGGATTCATTTTTCTTGACCTTTTGCCAGACAGACTGATTGTTTCCCTTCCCTGTACGAGCATGCAGATTTCCAAAACTTCCAAATTTAGAGACATTTGAATTTCGAGGAGCTACTATGTTTTCTTTACTTCTCTTGTTATGCGCAACGAGTTGCACATCACTATTGCTACGACCCTGAATACCATGCCTTGTTCCCTCAGTGTGGTTGTAGGAATCCATGGCATCATTTAACAAGCTTTGACAAGAGAAATATCCCTTTCTTGAACTCAAACTTGGCGGTTCAGAAATATATATATTGTGAGTTTCCGTCTCAGCATGTTTTTCATCACGATCAGCAGTAGTACTAATGTCACTGCTTGAACCAAATGAAACTGAATCCAAATTGAATGAGTCATGGATATCAGAGTAACGTTTGGTATACAAATCATTGTAACACCTCGCCTGTATATGAATACTTTCCACACCGTTGAAGATGGAAAACCCAGAGTCTTTGAGTAGAACCTGATTTCCAAAATTACCGACAGCAGGTATACCCGCCTCATCACTTGAAGAGGTGCATGTATTTGGTGTTTCAGAATTCTTGGTTCCACCATCTGGCAATGAATTATCTGGTGCAGTTGAAGATGACAGTGGTCTGTCTCCATCATTGTTACCACAGGTTTCAGAAGCTGAACTTCCATTGGGATATCCCGCATACAGCACTTCCGGTTCATTAGAGCCAGTGTTGATTGAAAACTTCTTGTTCTGCCTTCCCTTCTTTCGATTCTTCTTTCTCGAACTTCTTTTTGCGGTGTTGTCTATTTTTTGGTTACTGATACTCATAGTTGATGAGTTAATAGCATTAGAACCATTTGGGATGGTACATGCGGAATCACTGCAGGTTAAAGAGTTGTGAGAAGATTTCCTGGGAACTTCATTCCACTTAGTACCTTTATTTGTCAAGGTCTTATTTCGTGGTTGGTGTCGCACGCTTGAACCAGTGAAGCTTCTGTTTGTAAATGACTTGACGGAATAAGTGACGTCAAGGGGAGGCATTTTGTGAACCCTTTGTCGAGTAACCTTGAATGGGTTCATTGGTGGCGGGTAAAGCAGATGTAGATTATCCATATTCACCAGAGAATCAACTACCAAGTGATTTATATTGTAAGGACATTGTGCTGGTAGTTCCACGATTCTCCGTTGTCCACCAGTTTCAAGGGAAAGGAATGTAAGGATACCACACCTGAAATGTTAAAATTAAAAGTCATTCCTCAGCAATAACAGAAGAGAACCAGAAAATAAATGGTATAAAAGCAATGATAATCTTAGCAATGTCCTACAAACGCTGATCTACTGTCAGTGACCCGGTTTATTACTTCAGTCATACAAAGTATCAAATTTCTTGGACAGTCCGCATCAATCAGGAATTGCAGGCATAATATGATCTACTTACGCATACACATTTTGTTATGTATTAGATGTATATATGATGATTAAGAAACACACAAAACCATCAAAGGAATAGAGGTCGGGTTATACATTGCTTAATACTTAACAACTAATTCAAAAGACAGAAGAAAGCATACGAACTCAATTTAGTTGATCAGTTTCACCATACATCTGTGAAAAACAAGCAATTAGGCAATGGCAATCGAAACAGTCTTACCTACGATCAGAGTTCCTCCATGCAACAGAAGGCACTTCACAATCCTGAGCAAGATAGTAATCGGCAGAAAACTAGTCAGATGTATGGTGAAAAGTGAAGTAGATCCAAATTGATTTGTAAAATAGACATATATTACCGCTAAAGATGTTCTAGAACTTTCTTGTTTCCTTAATAACGAATCTCTTCTTGTGTCTGAAATTTTCTGGATACCACTGGTTGTCCTTGAAGGGCACAATGCATCTTTTGCCGTGCCTGCCCACGTCTTCAACACAAATAAAACAGTTAGTGATGTTCTAATACAAAATTATAAGGTGCTAATGTATTCAAAATCTAAAGACTTCACAGCATCAGCAAGTTAGATTTTACAATTGTAGTGCATTAAGAAGAACAACTCCGCCGTGTAAGTTTATCTTATATTGCCGGTCCCAAGCCCGGATAAAGGAGGAGGGGGAGGGCATCAGGTAGTCGACAGCCGGCACTCCATGATCACGTCGAATCTTTATGAAAATGAATCCAGAACGAAATCGCGCTAAAGCTAGGGCGTCACCCGTAAGTGGCGCGCTGTGTGGCCCGAGCACAGTGATAAGTGAGCAAGGGTCGTTGTATCTCCATCGGCACCCGGATGCAGTGTTAAATGAGCAAGGGGGCTATAGAAACTTCTTTTCGAACGACTCCACTCAAAGTTGTTTGGGAGCATATGCTCCTATCAACTTTACACGGGACACACAAAAGAAGTACTTTGATCCTATTAGACGGGGAAGGGTGAAGAAGCTAGGACAGAAGGGTAGAGTTCAAGAGAGCAAAATGCGTTTAGGAACGTGGAATATAGGAACCTTGACGGGAAAATCTATGGAAGTAGTAGAAGTTATGGTGAGGAGAAGGATAAATATTATGTGCCTACAAGAAACTAAGTGGGTTGGTCGTAAGGCAAAGGATCTAGAAAACTCAGGGTTTAAACTATGGTATTCGGGCACAAATAAAACGAGAAACGGTGTTGGCATCATCGTGGACAAGACCTTGACACAAGATGTTGTAGATGTCAAGAGGGTAGGAGATAGAATCGTGGCAATCAAGATTGTAATAGGACAAGAACTTATCAATGTGATTAGTGCGTACGCACCTCAAGTAGGATTGGATACAAGTTCGAAGGAGAAATTTTGGGAAGACCTTGGAGACTTGGTGCAAGGAATTGCTCAGACGGAGAAGTTATTTATAGGAGGAGATTTAAATGGACACGTGGGCAGGGAGACAGGCAACTATGGAGGTTTTCATGGTGGCCATGGTTTTGGGGAGAGAAACGAGGATGGGGAAGCTATCTTGGATTTTGCAATGGCATATGATCTCTTCTTAGCCAACACATTCTTTAAGAAGAGAGAAGAACATGTGATCACCTACAAGAGTGGGTCGTCAAAAACACAAATAGATTTTCTTCTAATGAGAAAAGGGGATCGTATAACTTGTAAGGATTGCAAAGTTATACCGGGAGAGAGCGTGGCTAATCAACATCGCTTGTTGGTGATGGATGTACATATCAAAAGAGTGAGAAAAAAGAACAAGACTTGGAAGTGCCCAAGGACTAGATGGTGGAATCTAAAAGAAGAAAAACAAGCCATTTTCAAAGAGAAAGTAATCACCCAGTATGTGTGGGATAGAGAGGGGGAAGCTAACCAAATGTGGGATTCCATGGCTAGTTGTATCCGAAAAGTAGCAAAAGAGGTATTAGGAGAGTCCAAGGGCTTTGCCCCACACCAAAAGGAATCTTGGTGGTGGAATGAGGAGGTACAAACAAAGGTGAAGGCTAAGAAGGAATGTTGTAAAGCCTTATACAAGGATAGGACCGATGAAAATGGTGAAAGGTATAGAAAAGCGAAGCAAGAGGCGAAGAAAGCTGTGAGAGAAGCTAAGTTAGCGGCTTATGACGATATGTATAAGCGACTAGATACCAAAGAAGGAGAGTTGGATATCTATAAACTAGCTAGAGCAAAGGAAAAGAAGACAAGGGACCTAAACCAAGTGAGGTGCATCAAGGATGAGGATGGAAAGGTTCTTGCTACAGAGAACGCGGTTAAAGACAGATGGAAATGTTATTTTTATAAACTTTTCAATGAAGGACATGAAAGAAGTGCTTCTTTAGGGGAGTTGAGTAACTCAGAAGAGTGTAGAAACTACTCTTTTTATCGTAGAATTCGGAAGGAAGAAGTGGTTGTAGCTTTGAAGAAGATGAAGCATAGAAAAGCAGTAGGCCCAGACGATATACCAATCGAAGTGTGGAAAGTTTTGGGAGAGACAGGTATAACATGGCTCACTGACCTTTTCAATAGGATTCTGAAAACGAAGAAGATGCCAAATGAGTGGCGAACGAGCACTTTGGTGCCTATCTACAAGAATAAGGGCGATGTACAAAATTGCATGAACTATAGGGGTATTAAGCTAATGAGTCATACAATGAAGCTCTGGGAGAGAGTCATTGAGCATAGATTGAGGCAAGAGACACGGGTTTCGGACAACCAATTCGGGTTCATGCCAGGGCGCTCAACCATGGAGGCAATCTATCTCTTACGAAGATTGATGGAAAGATATAGAGATGGGAAAAAGGATTTACACATGGTCTTTATAGATTTGGAAAAAGCGTATGATAGGGTCCCAAGAGACATTCTTTGGAGGATTTTAGAGAAGAAAGGAGTACGAGTAGCATATATCCAAGCTACACAGGATATGTATGAAGGAGCAAAGACTGCCGTAAGAACTCATGAAGGACAAACCGAAAGCTTTCCCATAACTGTAGGATTACATCAAGGTTCATCCTTAAGTCCTTACCTTTTTGCGTTGGTAATGGATGAGTTAACAGGACATATTCAAAATGATATTCCTTGGTGTATGCTTTTCGCAGACGATATAGTGTTCATAGATGAAACTCAGGAAGGGGTAAATGCAAAGCTTAACCTTTGGAGAGAAGTGTTGGAATCTAAAGGTCTTCGCCTAAGCCGATCAAAGACAGAATATATGGAGTGCAAGTTCAGTGCAAATGGAGGCCAAAACGAGTTAGGGGTGAGGATCGGAGATCAAGAAATAACAAAGAGTGACCGTTTTCGTTACCTAGGATCTATCTTGCAAAAGAACGGAGAATTAGATGGAGATCTCAACCATAGAATACAAGCTGGATGGATGAAGTGGAAGAGTGCATCAGGCGTGTTGTGTGACCGTCGTATGCCACTAAAGCTCAAGGGAAAATTTTATAGGACGGCAATAAGGCCGGCGATGCTGTATGGCACAGAATGTTGGGCGGTGAAGCATCAACACGTACACAAAATAGGTGTAGCGGAGATGAGGATGCTTCGTTGGATGTGTGGGCACACGAGAAAGGATAAGATTAGGAATGAGGATATCCGGGGTAAAGTAGGAGTAGCCGAAATTGAAGGAAAGATGAGAGAAAATCGGTTACGGTGGTTTGGACATGTGCAAAGAAGGCCTACTGACGCTCCGATTAGAAGATGCGACTATGGGACAGAGGTTCAGGGCCGAAAGGGTAGAGGAAGACCTAGGAAAACTTTGGAAGAGACCCTAAGAAAAGACTTAGAATACTTGGATCTAACGGAGGACATGACACATGACAGAACACAATGGCGTTCTAAGATTCATATAGCCGATCCCACTCAGTGACTTGGATTTTCCAAGTCTCCAACCGAGAAGTTTTCCTCACTTGGGAAATTAAGGGAACACTACCTCAACCTACATGCTCCACTCACAAAGCTTCAACATACAAGCTTCAACAAAAGAAAATTCAAAGAACTTAGCGAAGAAGGCTTTGGTGTATTTAACACAATACGTTGAAATGAAGGAAAGCTTATTTATTGATATCCCCGATAAGTTACAAATATGTACATATACTTGAGTCAAAATAAACAAACAAGAGGGAGCCTTCACAAAGGTTGCTTAGGAGAAGTCTCAGCAGTCGGTAGAGCCCCAGAAAGAGAAGGCACCGGAGGGGGATCATTCGGAGCCTCAGTACTGGACAGAACCCTAGAAGGAGGAGGCATCAGAGGTTGATCATTTGGAGCTTCATTAAGCGGTACAGCCCCAGAAGATGAAGGCAATAAATGCCTTTGGAACAAACCCACAAATCTTTGATGATCAAGTAAAACCTGACCATCAGATTCCTGCATCTGGTCAAGCTTCCTCTTCATGTTTGTAGCATAGTCATGTGCGAGCCGGTGCAACTGTTTATTCTCATGCTTGAGCCCTCTAATCTCCTGTTTGAGACTCATCACTTCAGCCGCCAATGATTCAACTTGGCGGGTTCGAGCAAATAGGCGTTGGGCCATATTAGACACAGAACCTGCACACTGAACACTGAGAGCCAGAGAATCCTTAACAGCCAACTCATCAGACCGTTTGGAAAGTAGTCTGTTATCTTTGGGAGTGAGAAGGTTCCTGGCCACTACCGCAGCGGTCATATCATTCTTCATCATGGAATCCCCAACGGTAAGAGGACCAGTAGGGGAGACGAATGATGGGCGCCATATGTTGTCTGGAGAAGGCGAGGCTGCCTCTTCAACAAGGTTCAAGTCAAAACGACGGTCGGAGGGGCCAGACATTTTCAAAGGTGTTGAAGAGAGAAGAGGTCGGACAAATCAAGATCTTAGAAGTGCAAGAATGGAGCTTCTACTGGTGGATATTCAAGTGTGCTTTGGAACTTAATGTCAGCCCCTATAAAAATCTGCACTCGACGAAGCTTCAGAAATCGAAGAGGCGCCTGCTCAGAAATCGAAGAGGCGTTTGCTTTCTCAAAAACTGGGCTGCTCAGAGACCACGAGGGTCGATCTCAGAAATCGAAGAGGCGTTTGCTTTCTCAAAAGCTGGGCTGCTCAAAGACCACGAAGGCCGATCTCAGAAATCGAAGAGGCTTGCTTTCTCAAAAGCTGGGCTGCTCAGAGACCACGAGGGCCAATCTCAGAAATCGAAGAGGCACCTACTTTTCCAGCCTTGTCAGCACCTGTCACACGCACACTCAGCTTTGCGGAAATTATGGGTATTCTGTCGAAGATTTCTGGCAAAGTAGAAAGCACATGAATCGTACTGTTCAATCACCCACTTCCCACACGCAACAGTAGCTCATGGGTACCACATATAACTTTGCCAAATTCTCTGACAAAGTTGAGACACGTGAAGCTTCCAGCTCCCACTACATCGCTCTGACCAAGAAGGGTAAAAGAATAGCAAAGAAACAACACTAACAAAGTTTAGCCACATAAATTTTGAAGGTCTAGCTACCATATTATTACCCACAAGGGTAAAGGAACAGTACCACTGCTGGATAATTGGAAAGTCCCGGTGTGTCAACCTCTGTGCTTCATGGCAAGGTAGACTAGCAAACATGCCCAACCTTTACTCACATTCGAGAAAACATTCCCAACAAGATTGCTTGCTCCAAAATCAAAGAGGCACCGCCCTCCGAATCTCGAGAGCCAGACTCCCAACATGATTACTTTCTAAAAAAATCGAAGAGAGGGTAAAGGAACAGTACCACTGCTGGATAATTGGAAAGTCCCTGTGTGTCAACCTCTGTGCTTCGTGCCAAGGTAGACTAGCAAACATGCCCAACCTTTACTCACATTCGAGAAAACACTCCCAACAAGATTGCTTGCTCCAAAATCGAAGAGGCACCGCCCTCCAAATCTCGAGAGCCAGACTCCCAACATGATTACTTTCTCAAAAATCGAAGAGACACCGCTCTCCGAATCTCGAGAGCCAGACCCCCAGCAAGGTTGCTTTCTCAAAAATCGAAGAGGCATCGTTCTCCGAATCTCGAGAGCCAGATCCCCGACAGGATTGCTTGTTTAAAAACCGAAGAGGCATCACTTTCCCAACTTTAAGAGCTGGATCTCCTTGGATAAAGCTTGTCTGTAATCTTCACACGCAACATCAGCTTTCCAGATACCACAGACCACTTTTTCAAAGTGCTCTGACAGAGTTAAAACATGTGAAGCTAGCAGCTCCCACTACCGTGCTATGACCAAGCAGGGTAAAGGAATAGCATTATTACTTAATGTTAGGGAGACTCCTATATATGTCGACCTCCATCCCCAACGAACAGGCAGACCTGCAAACATGCTCAACCGTTCCTCTTATCTGAGAGGGCACTCCCAACGAAGCCTTTCGAAATATTCAGCTTTCTTTCCCCCCGATAACACCTCTGTAAACAAGCTATACTAGAGCAAGAATATCTCATATCATCAGGGTTAAAAGCAAGAGTATCCCATATCATGCTTTTTCCCTGTCTTTTCCTTTGGCTTTGTTCTTACCTGCAAGACAAGGAGAATGAGAGCAATCAGTTAGCACTTGGAATCAAGCTTCCAGCCAGGAACTGACTGCCTGGAACCCCTTACCTGATTACTTACCTGGCATTGCTCTCGAGTACTCATCTTCAACATCTTATGCTTCTAGGGAAGATACCGCATCTGCTTGAGGAACAGATATGGCAAGTGAGAAGGATACAAGGAAGCATGTGGAGACAAGCGTAACAGCACACGTGCCGATACATCCACTACTCTGTCAAAAGCAAAAGTATCCCATATCAGTAGGGTCGAACGTACTCTAGATTTGATGGACTTGTTTTGACCCTCAAATTCTTCAGTCGGCCTTATACTCTGGAGGAAACCAGAAAACCCTCCAGCCCAGTTCAAGAATAAGCCTGTGGAAAGTTACTTCTTCAAAAGAAAAAGTATCCCATATCATCTCTTCTCATTTTTCTTCTCTTTATCCTTCATGCTGCCTGCAAGATAGGGAGAATGTGAACAATCAGCCGGAGCTCTGATTGCTTACCTTGTCTGTCACCTCTTCCAGCAGATCCCCTAGCTCGGCGACTTGGGAGACTCCTACTACATGGTTTGTATCGCGCTTGACCAAGCCTGAAACTACAAGTAAGCTTCAAGTGAAATTGATACATTACCTTGTGCATCTCCACCAGTTACAGATACCACCCCTGGATGGAGGAAGAGTACTTCCAGAGAAGATGCCACATCTACCTATGAGACAGATAAGGCAAGTCAAGACGATACCACACTCCGGTACTTAGAAGTTTCGTGGTTACGAGATCATTCTCCCACAATATTTCCTAATGTCATTTGTACTAAATCATTCACTTGTACTCACTAAAGGAGAGCTTGAACCTATGTACTTGTGTAAACCCTTCACAATTAATGAGAACTCATCTATTCCGTGGACGTAGCCAATCTGGGTGAACCACGTACATCTTGTGTTTGCTTTCCTATCTCTATCCATTTATATACTTATCCACACTAATGACAGGAGCAATCTAGCGAAGATCACAAAAAGTGACCGTTTTCGCTACCTAGGATCTATCTTGCAAGAGAACGGAGACTTAGATGGAGATCTCAACCATAGAATACAAGCTGGATGGATGAAGTGTAAGAGTGCATCCGGCGTGTTTGTGTGACCGTCGTAGGCCACTGAAGCTCAAGGGAAAATTGTATAGGACGGCAATGAGGCCGCGATGTTGTATGGCACAGAATGTTGGGCGGTGAAGCATCAACACGTACACAAAATGGGTGTAGCGGAGATGAGGATGCTTCGTGGGAGGTATGGGCACACGAGAAAGGATAAGATTGAGAATGAGGATACCCGAGGTAAAGTAGGAGTAGCCAAAATTGAAGGAAATATGAGAGAAAATCGGTTCCGGTGGTTTGGACTTGTGGAAAGAAGGCCTACTGACGCTCCGGTTCGAAAATGTGACTACGGGACAGAGGTTCAGAGCCGAAGGGGTAGAGGAAGACCTAGGAAAACTTTGGAATAGACCCTAGGAAAAGACTTGAGTACTTGGATCTAACGGATGACATGACACAAAACCGAGCGCAATGGCGCTCTAGGATTCATATAGCCGACCCCACTTAGTGGGAAAAGGCTTTGTTGTTGTTGTTGTTGTAGTGCATTAAGAAGAACCTCAATTTTTAGCACTTTTTCACAAGCAGCACATAGTTTTGTTAGTTTGCAACCCAGAACCTTATAGTGATAACAAACAAAACAAAACCAAGCAGTAGCATCTTCTCTCTATCCTAGAATCCAAACCAATTGGCAACCCAGAAACATCACTTTATTATGACATTCTCAGAAGAGTTGTGTTAGGCTGTTAGCTAGCGGCTTTACCTGTCCCGTAGTCATATATTGATTGCATCCAAAATTCTTATTGCAACTTGAACATGGCTTATTGACACCTTCGCCCTGCAACCTTGGTTTGTCGAAAAGCCTGGTTCTCTATTGGATGGCTTTCGCTTTGGTTTACAAATTGCATTTGTCTACAAAAACTCTCAAACACTAACTAAGACAACAATTACGAAGGTAATACCAAAACAACAATAATGCCTTAACCTTACTTCAATCAAATGAGAAAACGATACCATGTCAATCCACTCGACTCAAGTAAATTAATCGTGTAACCAAAACAACAATTCCGAAAATAAAAGAACATTCTTTTTTCCAAGCATTCATAATCTGCAGATAAAAGAACATGGGATTGAAGGCAAAGTACCTCATAGGTGTTCAAGATGAACGTTGAAACATGAACAAATCCTTATTCGCTTTTATCCTCAAACAAGTAGAAGGCATTGCTTTCATAACACACAAGTTGGCAACCAAACATTCACCACTTCTGCAAATTACCCTTTTTAACAAAAAGGATTGAAGCTGAAAGCAGAAATGCAAACATGTAGATAAAAAGGAAGAAAAACAGAGAATATAGAAACGAAAAATGGTTTGCTCACAATCCTCAGACTAAAATTGTATCTACAACCCACTCATTAAATTTAGACAGAAACCCAGCTAAATTTATCCCAAAAATATGAGGAAAAAAGAAGAATTTACCTGAGAAATTCCCTAAAAATAATTAATTCAAAAGAAATGGATTGACTAACTTGAAACATTGATGAGGAATCCAGTACTAAATTTGACTGCAACCCATGAATCAAATCTTGGAAAAGAAGTGTCTAAAAATGTAAATAAAAGATTGCACTGTAGTTGCAGAGAAAGCTCCCCAAATATAGGTGTGAGGTGGAGAATATCTAGTGCTAAAATTACTCAGCTGATTTCCCCAAACCAAATCTCACCCAATCTCCAATTTCTTATTTAGGCTCATGCTACAAGATATCAAATTTTCACTTGTATGCACATATTATAGTTTTGCCTATAAATACTTAAATACTTATAAACACTTGAATGGCAAACTTCAAAACTACTCCAAATTTATTGTAGGGGAACAATTTTCATTCTTTTCGTGCTATCTTCAATCATGTTCGTCGAGAAGCAAATATAATTTGATAAATGACATTAGCTTTCGAGATTAATGTAATTTGAAACGTACTACTATTTTCTTTCTTTTGAACGTGTTAAAAAGGGTCAACAAAGTTTCGATGAGGCCACATTTTACATCCTATTATGTACAACTCATATTCCCTTAATATTGTACTTCTCCCACATAATGTAATTAGTCTCATATTCTCTTAATATTGCCTCTTGAACTACTGCAGGTTCTCGTGGACCAAGATCCTGGACTGACCGGCAATCTCCTGGTTGAGCGTTTAGGTGGAGCTCATGTTGATTTAGTTAAAAAAGAAGAGTATGTCATTGGATTCCTTTCTGTAGATAATCAATTCGCAACTGGGCTATGCAGTTACCACCTCTGAGGAGATTAATTTTGTCAAGGAGATTGCTGCGACCACTGGGATTGTTCTTGATCCAGTTTACAGGTCCGTAACAGTATTAGTTTCCACCTTGTTATTACAAAAAATCTTGAGCATACATATATTTCCAATCAACGATTTATCAAATTTTAATTCGTTCCTCATTCAGTGGCAAAGCTGCTTATGGAATGATGATAGACATGGCTGAGAATCCAATTGGGAAGGAAGAAAGGTTCTCTTCATGCACACAGGCTGGCTATTTGGGTTGGACGACAAGGTAGAACAGATGGCTCCATTGTAGGGTAATTGGCATCGGATGGATGTCAACGAATCTGTTCCTCGGATCGATGGTATCAGGAAAATGTTCTAAGGCTAGAGATAAATCAAAGTAAAGAGTGTAGTGCTCTGTTTATAGGGGTGAGATCAAAATCCTCATTCAAAGTGTATGCTGTACTGAAGGATGCATAAGAAATTATCTCATATTAAATTAGAGTAGTTGTATTGGAGATCTGTAATTCCTTGTGATGCATGTTTGTTAATTGAAGTATGGTTGTTGTTTGTGGTGTGTGTTGGAAAATATTAGTATTTAGGTTTATTTTAGTATTTGGGTTTTGCTTGTTAGTTTAGGATTTAGGTCTAACCCATCCGAGTTAGGGATTCTTAGGTTTAGTTCTCTATATATATTGCTTGTAATTTAGTTTGAGAAATAAGTCAGTTACAATGTAGTCTCTTAGGGTTTTGTAGCCATTTTGGCATTCTCATTTGTTTAATAATATTTCTATTATTTTGCTAGTCTCATTCGTTGTGTACTCTGATATTCAACTTGGTATTAATGCGGGTTTGATCCTTAAGGTTCAATCCGTTCTCGTTGGTATCAATTTGTTTGCCTTTGTTGTCGTTCGTTTTAGATTTGTTAGTTGGTATTGATTGTTTGCAAGGAAAAAGTCAATCTGACTAATCCACCACACCACTGCTATATAGTTGTTTAAGAAGGTGTGATGTTGCACTTGTTCGCCCAAAAGAAGAGAGAAAAAAGAAGGAAAAAGAATAAAATTGTTTGGAGTTTTTGAGGCCCCCACACGGCAAAGAAAAAATATATTTTATTGTTTGTTTGCTCAGGTTTGTTTGGAAACTCACAATTGGCATCGGCATTGGCATTGGCATCGGCATTGGAATTGGCATCGGTACTGGCACTGGAATTTGGAGTCTTGCATCCACATCTACTTTGGCAAACCCATGTTGTGTACCGCCATGAGTATGACAGGGGGTGTTGGAAAATATTAGTATTTAGGTTTATTTTAGTATTTGGGTTTTGCTTGTTAGTTTAGGATTTAGGCCTAACCCATCCGAGTTAGGGTTTTTTAGGTTTAGTTCTCTATAAATATTGCTTGTAATTTAGTTTGAGAAATAAGTCAGTCACAATGTAGTCTCTTTGTAGCCGTTTCGGCATTCTCGTTTGTTTAATAATATTTCTATTATTTTATTAGTCTCGTTCATTACGCACTCTGATATTCATATGTGTGTACATCTCTGTATCTAATGTTGTGAATTCCACTTTTACTAATGTTGTGAATTGCACTTTTACGTGTTGCTTAAGAATCCGCCATCGAATAGTGTTTTCTGTTTTGGACAAGAAGTTTGCTAAAGAGAACCAGAAAAATAAAAGTGGAAAAAGAAACTTAATCAAACTTGAAAGGAAAATGGAGAACTTGGATTAATATCATTCCTACTCCGATTTCAGAAAATTTTAATAAACAGCTCTCCCAAATGATTATGACTCCTCTCCATTCCACTCCGTTCTAATTCAATTCTTCTCATTTTGATTACGTATTAGTAAAGTAACTATATATTTTTTTAATTGAAAGTGGGAAAACTATACATGGTTGATTGTCCTTGTTGTTGGCTTTGTTGTGTTTGGCTCATACATTTGTGAGTAATTATGAGTCATGTGTTAACAATAATGAAGTGACCTGTGTTTGCTTTCGGTGGAAATATCACATGGTGTGGGTTGCATGAAAGTTGCAGACAAAGTAAAAGCAAAAGTTTGGTGGACATCATCATGAGTAAAGATATAATGATGATGCTTGCTTTTACTTTAATGATGATGTTTGTTTTTTGCTTTAATGATGATGCAAGACACAATGATGATGGCTATGATGGCTTGGCCTTATATTGATAAGGCTTGCCGAGTTAGGGAGAGAGAGAGAGAGATTTGGCTCTCTCCTGAGAAGGCATCAGAGAGCATCCAAAGGGAGAGAGCATTCGGCTCTCCCATGGGAAAGCATGGGCACGGGTGAGAGAAAATCAAGAGAGCTAGAGTGAAAAGTATTCTAGTGAAAGAACTCTTGGGGTAGAGTGAGGCTCTTGGGAAAATTCTATGAGTGGGTGTGCAAAGGGATTTGGGATTGGGTTATGTTGATTTAACTCATGTGTACTTGTACTGTTATTCTCATAGTGAAGAGCAATATCTCTCCGGGGACGTAGGCAGGTTTTTGCCGAACCTCGTAAATTTCTCGGTGTCTTTATTTCTTGTATTTTATTCTGTTCAACTGAGTGTGATTATGTTGAGGTTGTAATCTGAATCTCGTTTCCGCACTAATGAACGGGCCAAGGCACAACAATTGGTATCAGAGCATCGTTGGACGCTTGGTTCGTTGGAGGTCCAGATTTGTTGTTCACCATGGAATTTTCAGTTGAGCAGTTTAATGGGAGATGCGGTTTTACTCTTGGTAAAGGAGAGTAATGGAAGCCTGAAGAAATGGAAGTCGTGTTCAGGGATGCTTGGATTAACTGCGAAAGTTGATGTTGAGAAAGAAGAAAAAGACCTCTTTCTTCTTACCTTACTTTCAGATTCGCACGAGAACCTTGTGAAACTTTACTGCATGGAAAGATACAGTAAGTTTGGAGCAGGTGCAAGCTTCTTTGGTGTGGAATGATACACAAAGGAGACCATGGATGATGGTGGGCATGAGATTGCTTTAGCTATTCAAGGTTGGAATCGTGGAAGAAAATTGGAAAAAGGATTTGAGAGAGAGCAGGTTCAGATCCTGTTCCGGAGGCAAGGGTCCACAGTGCTACGGTGCAAGGCCGGGTTGTAGCAAGTTTGTGGCATAAGGCTTCGAGTATGCCCTCTAGGTACTCGAAGCAACACTTCTCCTGGTGATGTTTAGTCTCAAGTGTTGCAGGTGTTTTGCAGCAGGTGGAGCTATGGGATTCACAGGTGATGAGATGGTCCTGAGGTAGAAGAAAGTGTGGGAATTTTTTCTGGCTCGATGGGTTGTTGCTAGAAACGGGTGCGCTGACGAGTTTCCAGGTTGCAGACAATGAAGAGGAGGAAAACCTGCTGGAGGAGACAAGGATGTGTCGAGATCCTGTCTGAAGCTAAATTGTGATTTTTAGCTTGCAGTAGCTGCACATGCATTGGCAGTGACTGAATCAGAACAGGACCAATGAGGTGGATTCAGAGTGTGCATGCTGGTACGTAAGGCCAATGGACTTTGGTGATGGGTGCAAGGATTTTTGCATGGTGTATTCGCCAAGGTGGAGATTGTTGTGTTTGGCTCATACATTTGTGAGTAATTATGAGTCATGTGTTAACAATAATGAAGTGACCTGTGTTTGCTTTCGGTGGAAATATCACATGGTGTGGGTTGCATGAAAGTTGCAGACAAAGTAAAAGCAAAAGTTTGGTGGACATCATCATGAGTAAAGATATAATGATGATGCTTGCTTTTACTTTAATGATGATGTTTGTTTTTTGCTTTAATGATGATGCAAGACACAATGATGATGGCTATGATGGCTTGGCCTTATATTGAGAAGGCTTGCCGAGTTAGGGAGAGAGAGAGAGAGAGATTTGGCTCTCTACTGAGAAGGCATCAGAGAGCATCCAAAGGGGGAGAGCATTCGGCTCTCCCATGGGAAAGCATGGGCACGGGTGAGAGAAAATCAAGAGAGCTAGAGTGAAAAGTATTCTAGTGAAAGAACTCTTGGGGTAGAATGAGGCTCTTGGGAAAATTCTATGAGTGGGTGTGCAAAGGGATTTGGGATTTGGGATTGGGTTATGTTGATTTAACTCATGTGTACTTGTACTGTTATTCTCATAGTGAAGAGCAATATCTCTTCGGGGACGTAGGCAGGTTTTTGCCGAACCTCGTAAATTTCTCGGTGTCTTTATTTCTTGTATTTTATTCTGTTCAACTGAGTGTGATTATGTTGAGGTTGTAATCTGAATCTCGTTTCCGCACCAATGAACGGGCCAAGGCACAACAGGCTTGGAACTCGATGTCTCTTACTGCATGCCATCTCCTTTGGCTTGTTCACGTGGGAATTGAAGTTGCATGGCATCTTAACGTTACCTTGGTCTTCACCTTCACGTGGATGGTGCCTTGCAGTAGCAGACAAAGGTCTTTGTTTCCAATGCTTCCAAATTCCAAAGCTGCATGAAAATATTTCCAAAGCTGCAGAAGATTGTTTCAGACTTTCAGTCTCATTAGATTCACAGAAATGGAAGTGGCGGTCAACACCAAGAACAGCTACGATACGGCAGCGAAGGCGGTGGCGATGGACTTCCTGACGAAAAAGGCCTACACTCCTCCTCCGTGGGCATCGCATATCGACTCCATCCCTTCCCACACCGTCTCTCTTGGACAAGTAAAACCTATTTCACTTCTTCCTCCTTGCCTCATATATATTTCTCTATATATGCGATTACATATTACTGTTTATTTATATAATTTCCTTGACTAGAAATTTAACAGTTGCTTAATTAGTGTTTGTTAATTGTCATCAATAATCACTTGTCAGTTTCCAACTCCAATTCATAAATGGAATCTTCCCAATTTGCCACCCAACACCGGGGTCTGGTTAAAGGTATCTGGTTTTGCTTTTTCCTCATTGGTATTTGATTTCCTACAGAAGCTTCCCGTTTGGGTTTTGCCGGGTCGAACAGACTTGAATGGCTAAAAGTGTTTTCAAACACCCAAAAACCGCTTCTAACTGTTAACTACATTGGAGAAGTAGCAGAGATGAACAATTATAAAATCAAGAAATGAAGTTTTACAAAGAGAAGATAAATATGCGAGAGAAATGAATGAAGCTTTTGTATTAAACTCAATGAACTCACTTTACTATCTGTTTACAATAGCTATATATAGCTGACTAGAGGACTAACTAACTATTTCAACTAACTATTACATCATCTAATCCTTTACAACTGTTTTGATGAGCTGGCAGAGATGAGTTGGCAGTGATATATTCAACACTAAGGGGTGGTTTGGGAGTGAGGTGCTTAAAAAAAAGGAAGTTTTAACGAAAAGCTCACGGTACTGTTCACTTTAACGAAAAACCACATTTTTACACTAAAAAGTCAAACCTGGTACTATTCACTTTACTCTTTATTTTGTCCTTATCATTAAAACTCAAAGTTTTCAAGCCCTTTTCATTAGTTTTCCTTAAAAAAAAGCACCCATGAAAAAAAACTATGAGGGTTTTAGGTGTTTGGTAAACTGAAAAAAAAGGCTTATTTTGAAAGCTGCTGTGAGAATAAGCTGAAATCAAAGGAAAAAGCTGAAGCTGCTATTTGCAGCTTTGGAAAACTGGCTTTTTTTTCAAAGCACACGGAGCTACAGTGCTCCTTTAATGAAAATACCCACTATCAGACTGTTTTTTTTTTTTTTTCCAAAGCACTTTTACAAAAAAGTTTACCAAACACTCTGCTGATTTATTTTACAACCGCTTATTCTCACAGCAGTACCAAACCAGCCCTAACTAGGTTTGGCATACAAACTTTACCTTAAGATCCTCCTAATCAAATGGAGATTTCGAATGCGAATGAGTGAATAGGCTGCCCTTTGTATGCAAGTTTCTAAATAAAATCTAAAACCTTAATAAGTTTTTTATCGAAGCGTAATTGCATTGATTTTGTTGTAAATCTCTAGCGTGATGACCTTTCGGGAATGCAAGTGGGCGGTAACAAAATCAGAAAATTGGAATTCTTGATAGCGGATGCCGTGGCAAAGGGTGCTGACTGTGTCATTACGATAGGGGGCATCCAAAGCAACCATTGTTGTGCAACTGCAGTGGCTGCCAAGTATCTCAACCTTGACTCTTATCTCATGCTAGCTACCCCTAAGGTCAATTTCCATCTCCTAGTTTTGCTACTGTTTTGAAAAGTAACAATCTTCCTTGTAATCAAATAAGTTATCCCGCGCACTCTCTGCTTAATTGCCTTGCCTCTTTCTGTAATGCAGGCTCTCTTGGATAAAAATCCTGGACTGACAGGCAATCTCCTCATCGATCATTTAGTTGGAGCTCATGTTGTATTGATTGCAAAAGAAGACTGGATAAAATTCGGCCAAGAAGTGCGTTTGTTTTTCCTTTCTCGACAACAATTAAGCACTCATTTTATTATAGCTTATATATAAAATGTAATTCTTTGAGAGTTGTTAGCAAATGTTACCGTCTCTCTGTCGAAGTTTGAAGTTGAAACACTCATCCCTGGCTATAAGTAATTCTGCGTAAGACGCACTTGTTATGAACTGCATTTTAATTAACATTTGCATGACTCAATGGATAGGAGGAAAAAGAGCGTACCAGCTATATGTCTTACTGCTGTACCGAGATGTATTTCTGTTAACAATCAACTAATATATTTTTCGTTCGTTGCAAATAGTGTAGTTATTTGGTTTTTTGTATAAATTTTGTGCAGGCTGTAACTAATCCTTTAAAGGAAAAACTGCTTAAAGAAGGAAGAAGGCCATATGTTATTCCTGCCGGTGGGTCAAACGCTCTAGGAACCTGGTCAGATTGCGGCCTTTCCGATGTACCATATCGTTTTAAATATTTATTTTGGATGAGAAGGGAGAAGGGTGCTGGGTGAGGCTTGTGAGGTTTCAGTTTCTCATAATGGTTTTGAGTTGATTGATTCAGGGGCTATATTGAAGCGATTCGAGAGATTGAGCAGCAGCTTCAGAGCCTGCCAGGAAAGTTTAAGCTTGATGATATAGTTGCTGCTTGTGGCAGGTTCTTCTCCACCCAGGGGTCGAATAATGAATATTATCTTACATGTTTTCTACATTGAGTATATCTAATACTGTAACGCAGTAGAATATGAGTAGTGTTACAACTTCCATCTGTTTAACATTTTGATTTTACTGGTTTCTAGTGGGGGTACAATTGCCGGATTGTCATTGGGCTCTTGGTTGAGTTCGTTGAAGGCAAAAGTATGTCGTTGGATTCCTTTCTGTAGATTAACAACTTTCCGTTCTTGACATCTTGTCCTGTAATATTTGTTCCTTCTGACCTGCAGGTTCATGCATTTGCTGTGGCTAGCAACCCTGATAACTTCTACAACTTTGTTCAGGGCATATTCAATGGAGCTGGGGCAGGCGTTGATTCGCACGATATTCTTGACGTTCAAGATGTAAGTACTGTCAAAACAGATTAGAATAGCCGTAATGTAGACACTGCGCGTCCTCTACAAAACATGGAGTAATTGTATATTGTGGTTTGATAGGCGAAAGGTCTAGGCTATGCAATTACCACCCCTGAGGAGCTTAATTTTGTCAAGGAGATTGCTGCGACCACTGGGGTTGTTCTTGATCCAGTTTACACGTCCGTATCAGCAATACTTTTGAATTTGTTTTTCCAATCAACGATTCAATAAATTTAATTTTGTTCCTGTTTTCAGTGGCAAAGCTGCTTATGGAATGATGAAAGACATGGCTGAGAATCCAAAGAAGTGGGAAGGAAGAAATATCCTGTTCATACACTCGGGCGGGTTACTTGGGTTGTACGACAAGGTAGAGCAGATGGCTCCATTGTTGGGAAATTGGCGTCGGATGGATGTCAACGAATATGTTCCCCGGGGGGTTGATGATATTGGGAAAATGTTCTAAGGCTCGAGATAAATCAACCGACAGAGGGAGGAGATCAAAATCCTCAATCAAAATGTATGTTATGTTACACAAGACTAGTTATGGGCTTGTGCTTTGATGGTGTATTGCTTGTTAATGGAAGTATAACTGGTATTTGTCGCATGTATAAAGTGAATGGATGTTTAGATTAGGATAATGGCTAAATTTGTAGACAAAATTTTGTAAACTAAATAACATGAAAGTTGACGATTGGAACATGCTCAGTTAGTTTGTATTATAAATTGAGTTTACCTAGCATTGCCCTTTAGATTATGAATTTATACAGTTTAGGGATGGACATATTTCTCCTTGTACTACTTATTTTTTCTTCAAATGCCAATTAGCACTCCCCATTTTGAATAAAGTGAATAAATTGACTAAATTCCCTTTAAATAAATAGTTATTTTAAAAAAACTTTTTAATTGATTTGCTCCTCAAACTATCAATTATTTAATCTTATTTTACTCTTTAAATTGATTTTGTCTCGCTTTGTCCCTTAAAACTATTATTTTTGTCTTATTTAATCTTAGTTCACCAATTTTATCCATTCCGTCAAATAGAAGTTAAATTAAAGAGTAATTATAGAGTTTTGTATGGATGTTTGAACAAATATATGGGTATTTATAGAGTTTTTTGGTGAATTAGCTATTGGATTTAAATTTGGGCCGTTAGATTTTTTTTTTTACCGTTAGATTTGATTATATTTGATCTTAGCTGTTGGATTCAATGTATTTTAAAATAACATTTAAAAAATAATAATAAATTTTGAATCTGGACCGTTGGATCAACCAACGGTCTTTAAATTCTTGCCATTGGATGCGGAAAAGAGCCGTTGGGCTCGGAGATATGGCCAACAACGGCCCTGACAATAGGCCCCCCACTGTCGGGTGCTGAAGGCACGCGAGCCTCGTGGGGCGGGTCGGCGAGTGAGCGGGTTAAGACTGGGCCTTTTTTGGGTGAGTCCACGCGTGTGTAGGGGGAATCTGGGGGGGTATTTGGCCCAGCTTTAGCATTTGACTTGGGTTGGATGGTGTTTGGAGAAAGGAATAAATTGGTTATTTTGGTATTTAGTCCAGAGTTGGAGGGAGTCTTAGGATATTTTATTTTTAACACAATTCTTTACCTCCAACTTGCACACTAAAGCAATACCGATTTCAATTACTTTAATTCAAATCTTCGTCTATCTTGCAGGTTGGTGTAGCTGCCACACTCTTTTTTAAAAGTGAAAAATTCAAATCGTAATAATATTGGCGGGAGGTTTTTTTTTTTTTTTGGAGCCAAATTGAAATATTTCGTTAGTGGGTCGGGCCCACACTTTCAAAAATGAGTTAATAAAATTTGCTGTAGTTCGCTGCCCGCCTGATTTCAAAGCGAGGAGCCACATTTTCGTTTCCAAATATTACCCAAGAAAAGAAACCAAGAGAAAACGAAGAGCCGCTGTCGATCCATATCCGGTAAGTGCTAGTTCCTCCTCCCTTTTTATCCATTCAAAGCCCTGAATTTATAGAATTCCACAGATTTAATTCCTCTTTGTTTTCTTTTGGAACTTGATTCCATCTGCGTTATTAATCCTATTAATTATTAATGCCTTTATATTTTATAGTTTTGGAGATGATTGTTCTCTATTAATGCTAGGGGTTTTAGATTTAAACTAATTCTGTTGTACATACCATGATAGTTCATTTGTTAGAAAAAAAAAAAGAAAAACACCATTAATTAGCGGTTGTTCGGTATCCTTCTTGCATCCAATTTTTTTGTTTTGGAAACTGATGAGTGTTAAATAGTTTAGCTACATTATCGTTTCTTAAAACAAGAAATCAAATTCAAGAAGGATATCAAACATGCAAATTTCCATTAATTTTGCATTCGTATAGACGTGCGTTAGGCCCTCTGGTCTGGACAGTTTGCATGCACTTCTAGAGAAATTCGAATCTGCGTAGATTAGAGTAGTTTATATTGTCGCACCGTAAATAAAATCGAATATTTCATTATAGCTGCTCTGGATTAGTTTCTAATTAATGCCATTGTTGTGCTTGTGTTTCTTTGAATTAAAGAAGGGTGGAACTAGCAATGGTACTTAAGAGCACTATCCCGGGTTCAGTTGAAGCGGGCAAAAACGACGTTTGCATCCCAATACTTCAAAGTTACGAGATCAAGAATGTTCCCCTTAGAAAAACTCGTTCCCCTCAAGTTTTGGGAATTGACATTAGCCTTGGTGGAGATGTTCAGTCGTGTAAGCGTTGTCGTCGTTCTGAAAGTATATCGAATATGCTAATTTGTGATCGTTGCGAAGAAGCGTTTCATGTAAAATGCTGCAAGCCCCGAGTGGTTTTTCCAGTTGACGATTGGTTTTGCGGTTCCTGTTCCAAAATTATGTCCGAAAAGTTGCAGAACGATTCTTTCCTGAAATCTCCTAGTAGCATGGGTTTGAGGTTTGGCTTAACGTGTAAATTTGAGCTGGGTCCAATAGCAGTTATGTTGAAGTACCCGGAGCCATTTACGTCTAAAGTTCGGATTGGTGAAGCCTATCAAGTAGAAGTTCCTGACTGGTGCCATCAAATTCCTAAGTATGTTATGCTGATAGCATTAGTCTGCTCAATTTATTCTTGTTTTGTTCGTCTGTCGTGTTAGCTAGTACTATCTGTTTAATTGAGTTCTTATAAATCGAGTATAATGTTACAGGACTCCACTGTCTGAAGTTGAAAACGATGACGGGGATTGTTCTCTTGCTGCTGTTTTGGACCCATCTCATTCTGATTGTGCTGATCGTCCTCCTCTGGTAATATAAAATCTTCAACTGGTTGCTATTTTTCTGTATCACAAAGTTACCCTTAATTACCGTTACTTTGTTAGTCCAACAATTGCACTGGACAAGTACATTTTGCATGTCCATTGTATGAGATTTCAGAATAACATAGGTCAAACCAGAACACATAAAGAATAGCTTATTTAGCAATCAAGAAAGTTAAGAGGAAGATTTATGCACGCCTTTTTTCTTCTTTTGCAAAATCCTATTAATTTCTGTTCGTTGATTCTCTTTTGTTTTATTCAATCAAAAGATGCATGGGAGAGAAGGGTCGTGCAGGGGTCACTTCCTAAGTTGAAACCATGAAACAATAGTTTGCTTGCTTGATTGGTTTTGAAGTTCGAACAGAACAATTTGTTGATAAATACTAGTCCAGATGATCTTGCATCTTCTTCAAGTAGTAACTTTTCCTGTTTTACTTTGTTCAAGTGGATTTAACAATTGCTTATTTGTACTTGCCTTGTTTGCATTGCTGTGTGTAGATGGGATCAGAAAATGGCATTGCTTCTAGAAAGAGGAAACTAGAAATGGTGGAAAGCCCCTAAAATTAGAAGTCAGGTGAGTATATATACACAGATACAACTTTTTCCACTTAAGGGGTGCTCAATAGGTACTAAAACATGTCTTAGCGTCTCTTCAGTGCCTGTTTAGCGCGCTTTTAATTCAAGATTTGCAAAAGGTTCCCTTTTGTGTATTTCCTATTAGAAATAAGACAATTTCTGATGTGCAGAACTTCTTGTTTGTCCAGTTTTTGACACACTACTCATATACCGAACAGACGTTAAAGGAAGAAACTAGAAAGTCTATGTATCTGTATGCCTACATGCCTCCAAACTGCAAAGTCCAAATTACGAATACAAAGTGGTGGTAAGTAATTTTATTTGAGATCACGAGTGAAAACCTTGTACTTTTGTTTTTAAGCCATAGGAATTAGAACAGCACAATGTCTTTTAGTACTATTAGTTAGCAAATAGCAAAGCATTCCTCCATTTTTTTATTTCTCCTTTGAAATTAGTTTCAATTTTTGGTTGGTGGTAATGCGTCACAGAGTTACTGATGAAGCAAAAGTTTGTGTGTATTCAAAGTTATGATAATGTGATAAGAGAGAATTAAGGAGTATACTTTTCATTACACGATAAAGTGCTATGTGGAAATTTTGCTCATCTATAATTATGATATTTGAAAATTTGATCGATGGATTGGTTTGGCACTACTTTTGCTAGATGAGAAATTTTTTAATATGTCGGAAACATGGTCCGGCATACTAAATGTCATATTTCAATTTTTTTAAGTTTTCAATTAATTCTGTTATTACATTTGTTATACCAGGCCGTGTGCACGGCACGTAAAAAAATTTCTCTTATTGGACAAGTATGCTATGCATGAACAATATCATGTTTGCAAGAGAAATTTTGGTAGGGCTATTAGTAGTACAACTCATATAGGAGAAGAAATTAGGACAATATCTGATGAAACCTGTTTGTACAATACTTAGGGCTTTCGTATTTAGACATCGTACAAATATTCGAGGGACTCAAATATAATTATGTAATAAATAAAGAGGCAAATATATAATAAGCGATGAGTCATTATTCTATAAAAGGATTTCTCACTCTCCTTATTAAGGAGGTCAAGTTGTAGGCCATGGGAAGAGAGCACACATAAAATAGGCTAGAGAGCACACTGTCTCTAGTCTTATTGTATATTCACCATTCAGAGTGAAACAATATCAACATTAGTATGGACGTAGCCTAAACATTGGGGTGAACCATGATACATCTTGTGTTCTTTACTTTTTGGTCGGATTTACATTGTCTCAAGATCTTCTGGTTTTGTGCATCAACATTTGACGTCGTCTGTGGGAATTGACACGAAAAGTTATGTTGGTTCTCTTTCATTTTTTCACTTCCACCGTGAATCTACAAAAACCCAAGAGACAACTAAAACTCTCTTTGCCTTTTCTCTTGCTTCTGATCTCTTTCACCTTTTCAAACAAAGCACCAATCTCTCTCTCTCTCTCTCTCTTTGTGACAACTGACCCGTGAGGCCACTCCCATTAAACATCTTTAAACTTTGTTTGATTCCCAATACGAAAAGCCAGCATAAGCTCTTTCTTCACCATTAGTACTTTTCTCCCTTTCCCACATCAAAATTCCCACTTCTGATTGTCGCTCGGCTCTGTTACAGAATTAAAGCTTTCCTAATTCAAGACCTTTTATTTCTCTCTTCGATGGCTTCGAAGACGATTCCAGATTCGAGTTGGAGATCGAGTCCGATAGCCACTCGTTGTCAGCTTCCGACTTCACCGTCAAGCTGATCGTTTCCAAGCCCGCGAACAACGCTGTTATGCCCAGCAAGAAGATTGCTTCGGCGAAGCCTGCTGTAGCGCCCAATTTTGGGTCGAAGCGACCGACGGAGACCGAGCCCAGCCCGAAAAATTCCAAGAAGAAGAAGGTCGGCGATGACGATGAGGATACGAAAAAGAGGCAGTGTTTTTGGAGCGAGGATGAGATAACAATTCTAAAGTGCATTATAGAGTTCGAAAGCAAGAAAGGTGTAGAGGCGAGTTCGAATGTGGCCCCATTCCTTGAGTTCATCAAGAATGATTTGCAGGTCGATTTGAGCACCGACCAATGGCTGAGAAGTTGACTGATAAGATCAGGAAATTAAAGAAGAAGTACCAGGCTGGAGAGGATAGCGAGGACTCGGTGTTTTCGAAGCCCCATGAGCTTAAGTGCTTTGAGCTGTGCAAAAAGATTTGGGGTTCTGAGGCCAATGGACTCGATAGCAATGTGAAGGGTGGTAAGAGGAAGCCGCCGAGGAAGAATAATAAGGTTAACAACTATACAGTTCTGGCCTTGCCGGTTTCAGGCGTGTTTGTAAAGAAAGAGGTGCAGAATAATGTGACTTGCCGGTTTCAAACAGTTCTGGCCAAGCAGCTGTCACTTTAGAGAAAGGAATATTGCCCTTAATCATGTCATCAAGCGACATATCTAAAACAGAAAGCAGAAAGAAAAGAAAGTAAAAGCAGAAAGAAAAGAAGGTAAAAACAGAAAGCAAAAGTAGAAAGCAAAAGCAGAAAGCAAAAGAAGATAAAAAGAAGCAGACATAATTGCGGTGATGATGGCATGCAGAAAAGGGAATTATGGGCGTGACCCATTGAGCAGAGGGTCGGATTTATTTTTAAATGATGTGATTTATTTTTCTTATCTTTCGAAGACATCTGTATAATTCCATCAAAGGGTAATAATAAAAATTAAAAACAAACGGCAAACCCAAAATAATGGGCTGGAATGTTATGTGGAGGGCGAAAGCTCATATGCCCAAAAGAGCCAGACTCTATGGCTTCAAACTTCAACCTTCATCCCTCCATTTAAAGGTTCATTCTTTATTATCACCAACCAGGTGATCAAAAGTACGTTCAGTACTTCAAAATTATTCGGCAGCCTGTCGCTATTATCACTAACCGGGTGATCAAAAGTACACTCAGCACTCTAAAATTATTCGGCAGTCTGCCGCTCATATCACCCACTAGGTGATCAAAAGTACGTCCAGTACTTCAAAATTATACATGAGCATCACTCATGTCAATCATACATAAACATTCATGACCATCATTCATATCAACATTCATGAGCATCACTCATGTCAATCAACATAAACATTCATGAGCATCACTTATGTCAATCAGCTTCGAAAACTTCATTTATATAACTCTAGCGTCAAAGTTTCACCTACAAAGCTTCAGTGCATGGTATACAAAGATCGCATCCGAACAAACCACCATTTTAGCCCATACATGGATTGAATTTGAAGTCTCCAGCCAACAGCCTCTATTGACTGAAGACTTGGGGGACTACACGATGTATCATATATTAGGCTTCCGCAACTGGGCCTCATGAAAAATATTAGGGGGACTTAGCCCATTATTTATGTATTAAGGAGCGAACATTTATTCTATAAAAGAGACTCATTCACTTTCATTAGAGAGCATCCATTATTCATGTATTGATGAGCGAACCCTTATTTTATAAAAAGGACTCCCTCACCATCATTAGAGAGCATCGCCACCAACTGAGCAACCGCCTCGCTGTGAGCATCACTCCTAACCCATCACTTATGTATTGAGGAGCAAACCCTTATTCTATAAAAGCGACTCCTTCACCATCATTAGAAAGCATTACCGCCAACTGAGCAACCGTCTCACCGCGAACATCAACTCTAGCCCACCATTTATGTATTGAGGAATGAACCCTTGTTCTATAAAAGGGACTCACTCACCTTTAAACGCCACAAGCCGAGCCAACCAAGGCAACATAAGCCATAAGCCGAGCAGTCTTGCAACATGTGTTACTTCTAGTTGAGCATCATTTCATATTGAGCATTGCCTCATATCGAGTATCAGTTTCAGATGACATCTAGTTACTTCAGCCCACACATGGATTGAATTTCAAGTCTTCAGCCAAAAGACTCTTTTGACTAAAGACTTGGGGGACTACTGTTTGTACCATACTTAGGGCTTCCGTATTTAGATCTCGTATAAATACTCGAATGACTCAAATGTAATTATGTAATAAATGAATGGACAAATATGTAATAAGTGATGAACCCTTATATAAAATGACTCCTCACTCTCTTCATTAAGGAAGTCAAGTTTTAGGCCACGGGAAGATAGCACACAGAAAATAGGCTAGAGAGCACACTGCCTCTAGCCTTCTTGTATATTCACCATTCAGAGTGAAATATCAATATCAGTGTGGGCGTAGCCCAAATATTGGGGTGAACCATAATACATCTTGTGTTTTTTACTTTCTTGCTGATTTACGGTCGGATTTATGTTGTCCCAAGACCTTTTGGTTTTGTGCATCAACAAAACCAAAATTATAAAATTTACAATTTTATGAAAAGTGTTTCATAGATAACATGATCGAGTATTCTTACTCGAGCGAAGTGTTGATTTAGTCTTTGAATTATCATCTTAGTGAAAATTAGGTTCTTGAAATATTTTTTGGGTAAAATAAGTTTCTAAATTCATTAAAAATTACTAATTCCATCCATACTATCTAATTTTTCCGTCAACTTACGATATTTGACACACTTTAAAGTGTATACTATTATTTTCTCGTTTATAAGCTCTTAACATTTGATATAGGCTGTGAAGCTAACGTCTAATTTCCCCTTCAAAATTAACTTCATACACTATTTTTTATGAAAATTATCAATCTACCTTCTAATATGTAGTTTCGAATATAAAATTAAAGATGTAATTGACAATTTTTTATAATTTAAAGAATAATTTGTTCTTAAAAAAAGAATTTAAAATTTTAATTTTTACTCAGATAATAATTCATAAACTAAATTAGCAGTTCACCCGTTTTATTCAAAATTTTGTTTTGTTGTACGAAGTTTCGGTGGAACGAGGAGAGAAGCCAACCCCATCTTCCTGCCCAGTGTCCACCACCACCAGTCAGTCATCTTCACTGCCAACGATAATTTCTTCCTTTTGTTTCTTCTTTGCTTCCTTCCTTTCTTTCACTTTCAACCGAAAATCATTTTCCTTTGTGTAGAAAGACGATTGATTGCATAGTTTCTGGTTCATCCGATCCGATTTGGGGACCATATGCCGTTACTCCATTTCCGTTACAGGACCAAATTACTTCAAAGTTCCAAATCATTGGCCACATCCTTAAAGCTAACTAGTTCTTGTAATTTAGAGTTTAACTACAAATGTGAATGGTTTAATACCCCAAATACTGAGAAAAGCTTCAGTAAGACAGAGAGACCCCTTGACTCACTCCAATCACAAATATTTTTTCAAACGTGAGAAACTTTTATTGGACGACAATACAAGTTTAACCACGGATGGTTAATAGAAATGCACGCGTAACCATTAATGGGTCCACATGGGGTTCACTGTCATAAAAAGAATTTAACCCAATGATGGACTCCAGGTGTGCTTAAAGACTTTCTGATCTTTCCTACCCACCGAAAGGTGGACAGAAATCAAAACAAGGGGAGGATAGCACATAGTGAGTCGGTCAGAAATTTTTAGTTGTGATGGGAACACGGATGATATATCACGTATTTTTATATAATTAGTAAAATTTTTTAATTTTTAAGTTATTAACATTTTAACACACATAACCTATTATTTATATAAAGACATAATGTTTCATCTTGTATGACGATCATACATAAAAATCTCTCGTGAGTCGGTAGCGATGCTTTAAAATAACTCAGGGTAAAATGGGCAATTTGGCCAAACTTTTTCAGTACGTGTCCTTAATTCTGCCTTACGTTATGCTTTTATTATTCGGCTAGCCTTTCTTTTCTCTCATAAAGTTTTGAGAGAATAGTATAAACGCAAATAGCATCAACTTCTCCTCGGTTCCTCAACTGCAACCGGCACCATATTTTTGTTTCCTATTTTCTTCTTCTTTCTTCCTAAAATTCAATAGTTTATTAAGATGGCGATCTCAACGACATCCGGTGACCGTCTTGGAGAGCTGGTGAACTGTACCTTTGCTTCCAGATATGTGCGTAACGACCTCCCTAAGTATGTTCTTAATACCCCTTTTCTTTTTAATATTTATAAATACTAAATAATATTAGTGAAAAGGTACCGAGTTTTTATCAAGAATTAAGCAATGCGTACGTGTAATTGTGTAGGTTTCAGATGCCGGCGACGTCGATACCAAAGGACGCGGCGTATCAGATAATAAACGACGAGCTCATGCTGGACGGGAATCCGCGGCTGAACTTGGCGTCGTTCGTGACGACGTGGATGGAGCCCGAATGCGATCGGCTGATGATGGCTTCCATGAACAAAAACTACGTCGACATGGATGAGTACCCTGTCACCACTGAACTCCAGGTTAGCTCATCCATCTATCATTTCTTATACTTATACGGTAAAAATTTTGCGTTATCGGTTGTATATTGCATTTGTCTTTTCTATATATCTTTCGTCGAAAGTAAAAAATATATACAACTGGTTGCATATAGAGTCTCTCGCACGTATTTCTTCACTACTCGCTATGTAAATATTAATTATAATAAAGTTAACTTAATTTGCAAACAAATTTAGACGCCATCGAGATCTATGAAGTATTGGAGGATGCAAGTCAAACATTAGCGTTACGTATATCTATGGGTGAGAGGATTAGGACTGGGGATAGGATAACAATTTATCATGTATTGACAGCAACCTTCAACTTTGACTGCAGAAATTAGCGTATGGCTGCACCGTGTGCAGACCCTGACTTCGTGGCTTAATATTAGAACATCCACCGAGAGTGGATTGCATCAATAACACCAGTAACAGTATATTTTATTAGTAGTCCTTATCTTTTAAGAAATTAAACTCTTAATTTGGAGAGATTTTTCAGTGTGACCGTCATACGTTACACTACGTGTCCTTATATAAATGGTAGGTTATGTGTGTTAAAATGTTAATAACTTAAAAATTAAAATTTTCCACCACTTACATAAAAACACGTAGAATACCATCCATGTTCCCGTCACAACTAAAAATTTCTCCTTAATTTGGATCCATATGTTTGGGTTATTTTCATTTTCCAATGCACATGCACACTATTTCATATTGGATAATGTTATTGCGATAAAAAATTTAAATCATATTTCTAAAACTAAATGATGGGTTACTAATAAAAAATAGTCATGATAATCAACATTCATGTAATAATCCAATCATTAACAATCACATTATTTGGTTTACTAAATTTGATTTAAAATTTTGGTCTCCTTAACGTTACCTTTCATATATATCGCTTGTTTTTTTATCAAAATTATTCTTGTATATTCATTGCGTCTTCAATTGAAATTTTAAAAGATTGTTGATGCTAAGTGGACAAAATAAAAATTTATTAGAACTTTAATTCAGAACATAATAACTCCTCGCTGTAAAACCACCATATTCTCCAAAAGAAATATGCTTTTAAACATTACAATAATTTATAAACCTAATAATTCTAAGTTTAAAGTTGCAGGATGATAAGATTATTCTTATATATTGTCCCAATTCATACTTGACATGCTTGTTAATCTTGACATTTCTTTCTATTTCTCTTTAAATGTAGAATCGGTGTGTGA